AAATGTTAATAGTAAGGTTTAAATAATATTTCTTGCTGTGACTGTAGGGCTGATACAATACGTCCCCTATGAACAGCATATGTGAATATTATGTAGACCTATTGTTTAAATCGAATTTATGCTTTAAAAGTAGAGTAATCATAGCAGTTTTCATCCATAGTATGTTCATTTAAACGTCTGCGTTTAGCTTCAAATGACGACAGTATTCTATAAAAATTATTTGCATACCGATCTTGACATCAAAAGGCACAACATTTTTTTTTCTTTTATTCCATGGATTTTACCCGTTTATCTCCACTTGTTCCCAGTGTTTTTCTGCAACCACTATGCGCGCGCAGCTGCAAGTGACGTAACTGTGACGTCTACTCTGAATTGGTCTATATATCACGGTTTCCACAAAAATATCCCAAAAAATGTCAACACTAATAATAATAATTGTTTCTTGAGCAGCAATGATTTCTGAAGATCATGTGACACTGAAGACTGGCGTAATGATGCTGAAAATACAGCTTTGATCACAGAAATCAATCACAGCTTAAAATACATTACAAAACAAAAGACTTCTTTCAAATTGTAATAACATTTCACAATATTTCTGTTTTTATTGTATATTTGATCAAATAAATGCAGCCTTGATGAACATAAGAGACTTCTTTCAAAAAGCATTAAAAACCTTTTGAAAAGTAGTTTTCAATGGATGATTAAAAAAAAAGAGGATGCCATTTATTTGCTGTGATGCATTTGTTCTCATTTTTTCCCCCCTGGTTACAATTCATGAGGTACACCTGAGCAAACACCTGTTAGCAACATTTTCATTTGACCAGTTTTTGTCTGAGCCTGTTTGTGTTTAACAGTACCTGTCTGGAGTGCTCTGTACTTTGGCACGTCTCTTTATTCTCGGTTAATCCAGTAAATTACACAACGCACTATAAGCTTCTTTACTTTTCCTCAAAAGGAGCGAAAGAGGCCTGAGAGCAAGACTACAGCCTCTCCAGGTGAAACACTGCCCAGTGGCTAAAAGACCACACACAAATTTCTATACTTTTCTCCAGATTTGACTCACATCCTTCAATGTAAGTCTATGAGATTTTATACCTACAGTACTGTCCTACAGCCAAGATTGCAGAATGTAAATAAGAACAACGCTCCTTCAAAAGTGGAAGGAACACATTTACAATCACAGCTTAAAATACATTACAAAAGAAAAGACTTCTTTCAAATTGTAATAACATTTCACAATATTTCTGTTTTTATTGTATATTTGATCAAATAAATGCAGCCTTGATGTACATAAGAGACTTCTTTCAAAAAGCATTAAAAACCTTTTGAAAAGTAGTTTTCAATGGATGATTAAAAAAAAAGAGGATGCCATTTATTTGCTGTGATGCATTTGTTCTCATTTTTTCCCCCCTGGTTACAATTCATGAGGTACACCTGAGCAAACACCTGTTAGCAACATTTTCATTTGACCAGTTTTTGTCTGAGCCTGTTTGTGTTTAACAGTACCTGTCTGGAGTGCTCTGTACTTTGGCACGTCTCTTTATTCTCGGTTAATCCAGTAAATTACACAACGCACTATAAGCTTCTTTACTTTTCCTCAAAAGGAGCGAAAGAGGCCTGAGAGCAAGACTACAGCCTCTCCAGGTGAAACACTGCCCAGTGGCTAAAAGACCACACACAAATTTCTATACTTTTCTCCAGATTTGACTCACATCCTTCAATGTAAGTCTATGAGATTTTATACCTACAGTACTGTCCTACAGCCAAGATTGCAGAATGTAAATAAGAACAACGCTCCTTCAAAAGTGGAAGGAACACATTTAAGGGGGGTGAGACTAAACTTCCCCCCAGAGTTCCACAGGAGTGTTAAGGGGTTAAAAGTGACACCTGTTGCCCCACACCAGAGTGTTAAGGCATGAACTGCATGCCCTAATGGGAGCCATGTGATGCAGCCGAGTGGACAAAAGGTGGATTGAGATGCCAGAAGACCATTTGTCACTTTCCGTTTAAAAGCAGGATGCAGCATCCATAAAGTCGTTCCCACCTGTACTTCTTTCTAATCACAAAAATACATGTAAAGAAGCAGCAGCTATTCATTATTTAGCGCTGCATCCCAGTTAACTTTAATTCTAAATAGTGCAAGATTAGAATTAGTATGTCATGTCATTATAGTACATTAAAAACAGTATGCTAAATGTGCCTGCTGTAGATCACAGTGTTTTTAAATGCATTAACCTAAAATGAAAAATATACGTGGTAATAAGCCACAATGGCGGACTCTCTGGTTACATATTTACAACTACCAACTTTCTCATCAGCAGCAAAGGACAAACTTTTTGTATAATAGAAGTATGTGAACTAGAATGGAGCCAAGGACATCGCCATGGCTCGTCTGATTGGTTCATTTGGGGAATGAGTCAGTATGAGTTTGTTTTGAGATTATGAATCAGTGTGAGACATTCAGTGTTGAGCTTGGATCATAAATATGTTTTGTGTTTTATAAACAACAAGTTCTTTTCAGAAACAAGAACTATTTGTTCTTGACTATATAAGAGCTATATGAAGAGTTTGGTTCCAAAACGCGATAAACGCCTTTTTTTTTTTTTTAATTGAGTTTCCGCCAAAATCAGTATTGTATCTGGTCGGTATTGAAAACGTCATTTTTAATTTTACCCAAAATGCGATATACGCAGAGTTATTCTGTCATGTTTTCTCCCTTTTTTTCCAAACCAAGACAAACGCCAGTCTCCCTTTTCTGTAGAATGCGATATATCCGTTCAACCAATCACAGTAATGGCGGCGCCCGGCTTCCTAGTTTTCCTCATCTATTTTGTACTTTGTGATCAACAAACAAACTTAGGGCTGCACCATAAATCGCATGCGATTGTCATGCGCATCTCGTAAGTAAAGCCGGTTCTGTGATTAGTAGTAAATCTCCATCACGTGCTTTCAGATGGAGCGGCATTTAATACAAAGAGCCGTAGATCACTGCTATATTGCGTTCATAATCGCAGATGAGTCGCATTCGATTATGAACGCGATATTGCGTAGCTTGTCAGTATAAGTGTTTTTATTAATGCCAAATTAATCAAAATGGATTTATAGCGTTTTGGAACCAAACTCTTCCATTATAGTTTTTTTTTTAAATTGCAGGTTTATGCATGTAAAAACATGTATATTTGCTAATATCACATTTATCAAGTATGTATGAGACTTTCACTCTTATTCTTCGTAACCTCTTACCTGGGTCTTTCTTCCACTGCGGTTGGTGCTGGGGCTTTTGCCGGACGCCTTACTGGGCGTGGTGTGGGCGGAGTCTACGCCGCCGTTAAGCTGAGCCGCTTTCATCACAGTGCTCATCATGGAGTTAATGGAAGACAAGTCCACCCCATCGACTTCCTCCATCTCTCCGTCTACTCCATTCTGTCCATTCTCCCATTCGTTTGCTTCCTCCTCTACACCGGCAGAACCCTCTGTTTATGTTTTAATTTCTTTGTATTATTTTAATGAATGATAGAAAGATAGATTATAGAGCAACAGACATAAGGAACGATGGATAGACAGATAGAAGGAATGATGGATAGAGCAATAGATGGATAGAAAGAACGATGATCTATAGATCAATAGATAGAATGATAGACAATGAACGATAAATAGAAGAGATGATAAAGCAATGATATTATACAATGATAGAAGAAACAGATGGATAGAGCAATAGAAGGAATGATGGACAGAAAGACAGATGGAACAATGGAAGGATAGAGGAATATGAGGATCAATGATAGAATGGAACGATGGATAGAAGGAATGATGGTTAGAAAGATGATAGAGCGATAGATAGAAGGAATGATAGAGCAATAGAATGAACAATGGACAGATAGAGTAAAAGAGTGATAGAATGAAAGATAGATGATAGAAAGAATGATGGATCGATAGACAGATCAGTAGACAGAACGATAGATAAAAGGATAAATCAATGGATGATTAGAATGAATGAGGAATAGAAAGATAGATGATAGATCGATAGACAGAAGGAACAATGGATACAAAGAACGATGGATTGATAGATCAACAGATAGCACTATAGAGAGAATGATAGACAGAATGATAAATAGAAGGAACGATGGATAAAAAGATAAGAGCAATAGAACAAGGCATGGATGGATAAAAAGATACATGGATAGAATGAAAGATAGAGTAGTAGATTGAGTGACAGAACAAACAATAGGACACAACTGATGGATGGATAGATGATAGAACGAATAATGGATAGAAAGATGGATGGATAGAGTGTCAGAGATTTCTACCTGTGTGTATTGTTTGTGTTCCTGTGGGGGCGGGGCTCTGGCGCTCATCGCTTTGCTCCGCCTCCTCTCTAGTGAGGGTGCAATCTGCAGATTCTGTTCTTGTCTCCTCCGTTGAATTTTCCATAACTATGAAGAAGAAGAAAAACAAAGCGAAAAACATACGCAAATAAACCAAGGGTGCTTTGAGTGCACTGGAAGAACAGCTTATATCTTATAGTAACTTTTACATTTAAAACAGCTAGATGGAGAACAGGGGGCAAAAACGACTGGAAGAATGGGAAATTGTTCAGTGAGTACACTACACAGAGTACTTGATACAGTCAGTGGAACACAACGTGTGTTCTCTAGATGAGGCACAGTACACACATTCTCTTTGTGCTTTACGGCTCCAGCACCTGTCTGGAGAGCACAAGTGAGGGGAGCGCAAGTGTGTAAGAGTCATCGTGTGATGCCATAGCGGACTATGAAGTTCTAGCGAAGTTTAAGAAAAAATCTAATTGGATGAAACAACTGGCAACATCATAGGTGTGGCCTATGAAACCATGATTGGTTTCATCCGATTTTTGGACAACTACAGACGACCACACAGGAAAATCTCTGCTTTGGTGGGCGCCGGCATGGCAGATGGCTGTAGATGCTAATCTGGATGAGCTACTTTTAAGAGGGGAAGGTCATGAGGGGTTCATTCCTGAGAGAATGATGGGAGATGCTTAGAGGTACATCGACCTAAAAAGCAGCACTCTAAGTGGTGGTTATGATTTAATAAGTGTGCTAATGACTAAAAGAGATTGATGATGTGTTAACATGAGGGAGGGAGAGTTGAAACAGTTGTCAAGAGGAAAGACCGCAAAGATTTGGGAGGGAAAATGATGGAGAAAAGAAGGAGATTCTCTCTTTGCTAATTGGCGTTTCCCATCCACAGCCACACAGGAAGCTCCTCTGCGGTCTGGGTTGCTTCCTCTTTTGGAGAGAGGATAAGGGAATGCGAGCGTGTGTGTCGAGGCAGTTGGATAACAGGATCTGCTGTTGGCTGGACCATAACAACATGGTAGATATGATCAGGGGGACAAACTCTGCACTAATAGGAGAAACTTCACAAATGTCATGTAGCCAAATGGAGGTAAACCAAACTCCTCCAGAAACAGCCTGCTAGCCAAGTACTGAATGCACTTGATTAGACACGTACAACTACAGCTGAATACGGATAGCGTCCTTACTCCTCAAAATAACTAAAGGGAGGGTTGACGAGCACATTCATCAACCAAAATCCACTGTAGTGACAACAAATAGAAAACAAAATAGGAATATCATCGAAAAGATATCTGCAGGACTTTTAGTGTGTCAGAATTTGTAGTTTTCTGCAAAAACAGAAGAAAATGGATGACCAAGTATTTCTGAAGTGTGCATCTGATGAACACTTAACTATCCCATGAGGCCACAGGAGAGGATTTGTGAATGGCAGTGAAGTGACACAACTAATGCCGGTAGGTCACATGACAATATTTACACTTGGCCACTTCAAGCGTTTTCTTTGATCAGATAGCTATCCAATTGCGAAAAGACCATAAATGCGTAAAAAGTGTAAAATAGGCCCAATGCCAACATGGCGGACGTAGTACATCCAGATTTAATCCGTGCTACACAAATTCATACTATACAGAACAAACTTTTTCACAAGTTTGTTCCAATGTAGTACCTTCTCGTGTGATTCCAGACACACCATGTCATTAAGTCTCATAATTAAGTTTTGGCTAATTCAGCCTTTTCATGACAAAGCAATTTAGCTCAACGTAATCTCATATGGTGATATTTATGGACAAGCACTTTTGTATAGCATATCTTTATTGAGTTTTACAAAGTATAAAAAAAAATGCAACAACATTCCCCAAAACTTAACTCAGACAGGTTTTGAAAAAAAATAAAAATGGACAAGCACTTTTAACTTTAAAGACATTGAAACACTTTTTGTTGATTGAGATGTGTAAGGAAAACGTTATTACTTTTTACTAGAGTTTGAATGGATTGTAGTTGATCCGTACAGACCAGGCCCCACGGTTTGGCACGCATGAGATCCACGGATTAATAGCTAAATTAAACAACCCTCTACAATGCGAGTAAATCGCTCGCTTATGCGACTAATGCCGAGTTCACACTGCACGATTTTAGCCCGATTTTACACTCGCCGACAGGTTTTGCGAAATCGCTGACAAATGCCCGAAATCGGAGGAAAATCGGTGATCGTTCACGCGATTCACAATCACGCTGTGTGAAATGAGTTCTGACTGAAAAACACATCGGCGATGACCTACAGTCAATGAGAGAACAAGATACAGGGCAGAGGGAGGTTCAGGGAGGAGTTACATGAAACGTAGTTTGCAGACCAGTGTTGCCAAATCCGCGATTGCCGCCGGTTGTTTTTTATGTCAGCAGGTTGAAGCGACCCCAATAACGTGATATTTAGGCCCTGGAATGTGAATTGTACCAGGAGAACCCTGCCAAAAAAATTTGTATTTTACCCCCCGAACGCGATTTATACTGGGGGACCCACTCGACAGCAATTGGGCTATTTTCAGGCTAGTTTTGAGTAGTAATTGGGCGGGTTTTGTAGCGAAAACCTGGCAACCCTGCACCAGACAGAGCTGTCGGCGATTCTTCCTATTGTGAAGTCATGCAGTGTGAAACCCCCTGTCGCTGATCCATCGTGCAATGTGAACACAGCAACAACTGAATGCTACCCCAGATAGTCACGCAGTGTGAAAACAACGGCGATCCGACGAGTTTGAAAATCGTGCAGAGTGAACTCGGCATACATCTTCACTCTCGGTGACTAAATGATGTCTAACATTAGCCTTAGAGTTTACTTTTACTTGTCTTTAATCATGTTTGATCTTTCTTAGTTAGGCTAGTAGATTTTGCTGTGGTATCGAAGAAGTACTTAGCTTTAAGTAATAAATGGAAAGCAAAGTTACATTGAAACATTTTTTTCTTGCTGTTGCGAAAAACAATTCGATCCGCGACTCAAAATCCGTTTTGTGATCTATTGGACAACTACTTTTTACTCGATGGTTACACCACATGAGTTTTAAAACTATAATTTAATTAGTTTTTCGCTAGTTTAAATGAAAGGATCATTAAAACTTTTTACAAAGATAAAAGGCATCACCTGATGTGAAGGGAAGCACGTAATTTCATCAAAGCGCTCATTAGTCAAGATGAGACTGTTTGCATGATGGGCGGGGCATTTTTGAACAGTTGATGAATGTGGTGGGGAACAAACTAGTACTATAAATCAAAGAGAAAAACAGAAAGATGCTGAACATAAGAAGAGGACGGTGAGAAACGGGAGAGGAGGAAAAACCTGTATTTGTAGAGATGGGTGTGTTAAGTCGAGCACGATACTGTTGGGTTCTGTTGATGATTAGAGGTAGAAAGACAAGGGATTACACAACAGCAGGGCAGGTTTCGAGTTGTGCAAGGATTTGGGCTGGGGGTTTGGGGTGAGAGTGAGTGAGAGAGAGCTGTACTTGTCATAAGATTCTTGCTCTCTTGCCGGGAGAGATAGTGCGGGTGGAGGGAGTTGGGGGGCTGCTGTTACTACATCTGTTCCCACCCATCACTCTCACTTTCCTGCACACACACACACACACGACAGATAGAGCTTCTTGCACATCCTTGTTAAAACAAGCCAAACAAAAGAGGTGATTTTAGGAGACTATGAGGAGAGAATATGTTATGGTCGTGCTAGCGTGTGCGTTCGTGTATGACCATATGTGAATTTTTTTGAACGTTTGTGTGTCAGTCAGAAGCACACAAGGGTGGAAAAGTCCTCACACGGTGCCAAACCGAGCAAGCAAGAATGCCTCTGCTCTGTCTCTCTCCATCTTGTTTCGTCTTCCATCTATCCCTCACTACTTTTCCTCTTTCATCCTACATAAACGTCTTCAAATATCCTCTAAGCTATTCTAAAATGTGAATGCTTACCTTTTAAAAGTCACAGAAAACAAACAAAACTACTTTAAAATGGTAGAAAATATTCGAAAAAAGCGAATCAAAATTAGTAATATTAAGACACGGACTAAACTGATAGCATTTCTTTCCAACCAAAAAATAAATTTCACAACAGGCTGTGGGTTGGAATAAGCCACTATCTATAACCACTGGAAAATCTTAAATGAGGCATTACAAAATTAGGCTTGCATTGCATAGATGCTAGCTAATATATTAATTTTTGGCACTAGTAAATTCTAATCAAATCAGTCTTTTTAAAACAAAAGCTTTAAAATAGCTAAAACAACTAAAAGTCAAGGTATGTCTTATTTTAATTCACCCCCAAACTTCTGTAATTCTACACTTGAATTATTTTACTTTTACTTTTAATTGGTAACACTTTATTTTAAGGACAAATTCTCACTTTTAACTAGCATGCATATTGGCTGTTTATTAGTATGTACAATGCACACGTTAATGTCTTATTCTGCATTACCATATTTTAGATCATTTTCCATACCTAAACTGAACAACTACCTTACTAACTATTAAAAAGCAGCAAATTTGGAGTTTATTGAGGCAAAAGTCATAATGAGACCTGGACCTTAAAGTGAGACCAAACTATTTTTGAGAACCACTGGTTTAACATTCATGGCCAGCACTTCTTCGATGCTACACAACTGAGCAATCAGTTCAAGCAAAAAGTTGGTTTCAGCTCGACATTTCAAATGATCAGCGGCTTGTCCTTCTGTCTACTTTACCACGAGACACACATATGATGCTCTCAAGTCCAAATAGCACCTGACTATTTATTAGAGAAGCATTCCTAATCTAAATTTACCTTAAAACTTGGGCCTGAAGCCAAAGTATCCACTCAAGCCACAAAGCTGCCAATGTAAGTAGCCTTGGAAGACAAAACCTTTTACTTCCTTGTAAGATGCCAATAGCTCTAGCTTACATTCAGTAGGAGCTCTTATTAAAGTAATTGGCCTGGCTTCTGGATGCAAATGACAGAGTCGAGTGGGTTGGGCATGCGAGGATGGCTGTCAGATAATAGCTCCAAGCCAAACTGCCAAAAGTGGCACATGCACTTCAAAAGCAAACAGATATGGATCAACCGTAGTACCGATTCTCAGTTA